CTTGCATCTGAAGAAGTGAGGTTCTTACCCACGAAAGCTTATGCCCCCAATACTTCTGTTAGTCTTAAAGGTGCCACAGGACCCTCTGTTGCTTTTTACAGTATTTCCTTGTTTCCCCATGCATTTGTGAACTTATTGAAACACTTCAACTATTCTAGCACTGGGCCTTTTTCTAAAGTAGAAATAGCTTATAATGTTACATTACTGGAATAACTTTTTTAAAAGTTATGTACGGTATAATTCATTTTTCCTACAAACCCACATTGAGTAAGTCTTTCATGAATGCAAAGTTGTCGCTCAGATGACTCAAACTCACATTTTATTAGTAGTAACGTTTATATTTAGAGTAATAAATACGTTGGTACCAAAACCACACTGCAACAGAAACCCTAATTACATGGAAATTCCATTTCAAATATGAATCAGGATCTTAAAATGTATCATTTCCAAACAGTATCCTTTGTTTTCCCTTTTAGCACTGAAAATAGTTTGCAAAGACTGTATAGGAGCTATAAAAATAAACCAAAACTTAAAACTAAAATAAATGTTTTATATCTTACACACATCGGTTCCCGGAACACTTTACAGAAACAAAAATAAAGTGTTGAGAAAAGGATAATCCTTTCCAGGGAGCTACAAATTAAGCAGCAAAACAAGGCAGATCACTAGAGCCCACCAAAGCCGCAGAAAAAGTCAAATGCATACAGCTCCTCACAAAGAGAGACATACATATACTGGAAACCAAAAACAGCAAATAAAGAGCATTAATGAATTGTAATACATAATGAGAATATGACCTGCCATTTAGTAATTGCACTAAATGTAGCTAAAAATGGTGGCCTTTCACATACTGGGATTAACAGATTATATCAGTAGGAGATACCCTAGTTGAAACAAAAGATGCAGCCATCTGGTTTCTTGAATCAACATAAAGTAGTGAATTAGGGAGATTACTGAGGACACATTCCAAACCATGTAGTTGTATCACTCTTAGGAGAGTGGAGACCCAAAAAAGCTATGCCATGTCAAAATAATAACACTAATACTTAACATTATCTTCAACCAGTTTTTAATCAAAAGGATCTCAGAAGACTTTACAAACATTAATTAAACCTCACAATGCTCTTCGGAGGTAAATCATATTACAGATGGGTATCTAACGATCAGAGAGATTAAGCGACTTACTCAAGGTCACATAGCAAGATGCTGGCAGAGCTTGGAATAAAAACCAGAATTCTCAACTCCCCATTATTTTTCAAGCACCCAAAAGTATACTAGGCACCTGATAAAACAAGTGAAAAGAGAGTCTTTAGTCTAAAGAGCATACAGACTAAAATGTACAAAATGTAGTCAGTGAGGGTCATAGACAAAGGGGGAAGAGGAACAACAAAAGTAAGGCAGGTACACAACTTGACAGTTATTATTTTGCTCGTTTTAGCTGTTAGCTATTTCCCCTCACAGAAGAAAGGTCAGAAGGCGTTTTACAGAGAACTTCTAATTTGGGAAGGAGGTGGCCTGGCAAACAAACAGTTTCTGAGAGGAAGATCCAAGCATAAGGGCAGCTTGGAATAGAGGGGCTGTCAGTGTTGGGGTGAGGAAGATGCAGAAGTGGGGATGCAAAAAAAAAAAACAAGCAAATGAGTGGAAGGGATGCAATGTATGAAGGAGAGAATACAAAAGGAGAGGAGGTCAGAGATGAAAGCAGGGATTGCGTGATACAGGGCCTTAAAGGCAAGAAAAAGAGTCAATGTGATTCCCATCAGCTGCTCCACCTACTGAACCAAATTCATCCTCTCCCAAGAAAATGAGGGTTATTCACAGCAGCCCCAAAATTAGGCTTTTCACATAGCACCCATGTATAATAAGGAACCATTAGTTCAGGGCTTGAAAAGTGTAAGAGTACGTCTATTAGCCTGAAGACTAAACCAACTATAGCCCAATAAAAAGGACCAGTGAGGTCCAATGACAACAGCTCCAGCCCCTCAGTCCCCCTCCCTCCCCGCGGGCCGCCAGCCCCTGTTCCCCTCCCTCCCCCCGGCTGCCAGCCCCTCAGTCCCGCTCCCTCGCTCCCTCCCCCCGGCTGCCAGCCCCTCAGTCCCGCTCCCTCCCCCCGGCTGCCAGCCCCTCAGTCCCCCCTTTCCTCACCCACTCCTTCCTCGTGTGTGGAAGCTGCTCTACACCCGCCGCTCATCCTCTTCCCTTCCCCTTCCCCATAGAGCCTACGCCCCCCTCCCCACACACTATCACCTTATCCCTTCCCCAGTATGCGGAGGAGCCAGAGCCAGCCTGGCTCCCCCCACCCACGCGGGGTGCGTAGGCTCCTCTGCCCCCTCTCCTCCCGTGTGTAAGGAGGTTTTTCCTCTGCTCCCGACCCCGGTAACCGTTGGGGTTCGAACCTTACCGGTTACCCGGCGCCGCGATGAGGCGGCAGCGGGGAGAGCGCGCGCCGCAGACAACAGCAGCTGTGCGGGGGTAACGAAAGGCAACAGCTGTGGGGAAGCGCGAGCTCGAGAATGAGGCAGAGCCGCGGCGGCAGCAACAGCGCGCGGCCGGGATAGAGAGGAGGGAACAATGCGCGGCCAGGATAGAAGGGAGGAAAAAGGGGCCGTGCTTCAAACGACGCTCCGCCCTAGCCCGAGAAAAGACATACGGAGCTTCGTCATCACATCAGTTACCATCTTCCGTCAGATTTAAGGGGGCTGCCTCCCACTAGACTACATGAAGAGGGGCGGGCGCTACATTTGATGGATGGGTACTTTATCCAATGGGAAAAGAGGTGAGGCGGGATTACGTTAGATGGGCAAGTCTCTACCACAATAGGAGTCGCTGACTTGATGCTGTCCTGTTTGATTGACGTCCCTGTCCCTGAATTGGAAGAAGGGAAAACGTGGGCGGGCTGAGTGTGAATTGAGCTTCTCTTATACCCAATGGCTATGGTGCGAAGGCAGGGCTCAGTTTGATGGGCATCTGGCCTACCTAATAGTTGTGGTACATAGACGGCATCAACTTGATCGGCTCCTCTGCTGCCCAATGGGCGTGTGGCAGAGTCTGTTTATCGCGTGATGGGCTAGCCAATGGGCGCGCTGTAGAGATGGTCTAAGCGTCTCTCGTGCTCCTTCTTTTCCCTAATGAGGGGGCCCCTCCGCTCCACCTGAGACCCGCTTGCTGGCTGGGCCCCTCGCAACGCGTGTGGGGGCCGGGGGCTGTAACGTGATGAGCCGAGACCCTGCGAAGGGAGAGGGAAGGCTCTGGCCTCGGTCGCGGGGTGAGGCGGCAGCGGCGGGTCCACCCAGCGGCTGCTGCGCAGGGCGGCCCGGGCCTGCCTGGTAGGTACAGGGAGAGGCGGGGCCTCTCGTCTCCTGGTGCCGGGGACGGGTTCCCAACCGGGGGGGACGGGGCTAGCTGCTGTTGCGGGGGCTGAACCCTCTGTCCGTGCCGAGTGCGGGAACATCACAGGCCGTGCGGGCCGCAGAGGGGGCGGGCTGGACTCAGCCCTGCGGACGCGGGAGGGAGGGAGGGAGGGCGGGAGCTGGTGCACGGAGAGGACCCCGCCCCCGAGCCTTTGGGAGCTGCCGGTTGGCTGAGGCGTCCCGCTGCGCCAGGAACCAGAGCAGCGGGGAGAGTGAGGCGCAGAGGGCAGCGCAGCTGGCAGGCAGCGCGAAGCCTCCCCTTCGACCCAGGGGAGCTGCGAGTCCGGCCAGGGCGGAGATGAACGGCCGGGGCAGGGGCGCCATTTCGGGGGTGGGCAATTTTTACCATGTTTCCTGGGGCTACTTAGGAACTTGAAAAAACTCGGTTTTTTTGACAGGAGCCGTGTCTCTAATTCCTTTATAAAAGAAATTTAAATAAATATTAGACCCACTCAGCTCTAATCACATGTTCTGACATCTTGTGGCAAGTCACTTAAGGGACACTGGTTAGGTTTGAAATTTTAATGTAGATTCTTCTTACTTTATTACTAACTCTGTGGAGAGAGAGAGAGAGAGACCCTGTCAGGCCCCCTCACCTCTGGGAGGAGAGCGAGGAACAGATACATCTGGGTTCTATATAAGAACATCAGTGGCTATACTGGGTCAGACCAATGGTCCATCTAGCCCAGTATCCTGTCTTCCAACAGTGGCCAATGCCAGGTGCCACGGGGGGAATGAACAGAACAGGCACCAAGCAATCATCAAGTTACCCTGTTACCCACTCCCAGCTTCTGGCAAACAGCGAGGAACATGCAGAACATGGTGTTGGATCCCCGCCCATCCTGGCTAATAGCCATTGCTGGACCTATTCTCCATGAACTTAACTAGTTCTTATTGGAACCATTATAGTTTTGGCCTTCACAACATCCCCTAGCAAAGAGTTCCACGTGTTGACTGTGAAGAAATACTTTTGTTTGTTTTAAATCTGCTGCCTACTAATTTCATTTGGTGACTCCTAGTTCTTGTGTTATGGGGAGTAAATAATTCCTTATTATTCTGTTAACTTTTTTAATTGCCATTGTACATTGAGCAGGTGTTTTCAGAGAACTAGCCACAATGACTCCAAGATTTCTTTATTGACAGGTTCAGCTAATTTAGACCCCATCATTTTATATGTATAGTTGGGATTGTATTTTGCCAAGTGCATTACTTTGCATTTATCAGCATTGAATTTCTTCTGGCATTGTGTTGCCCAGTCACCCAGTTTTGAGAGATCCCTTTATAACTCTTCGCAGTCTGCTTTGGACTTAACTATCTTGAGTAATTTTGTACTATCTACACATTTTACCACCTCACCGCTTATCCCTTTTTCCTGATCATTTATGAATATGTTGAATAGGACTGGTCCCAGTACAGACCCCTGAAGGACAGCACTGTTTACCTCTCTCCAGTCTCACCTTTTAGTCCTACCCTTTTGTTTCCTATCTTTTAACTGAAGTGCCTGGCAGTGCTTTTAGGATCATCTAATGATCCTTAATCTACTTTAATGATAAGCCTTTTGTTATCTTAATCACCCTGCCTCTGTTTATAAACAAACTTCCTGCCCCGAAGGCTATGCTGCTTCCAGCTTCAGAACTTACACATATCATACTCAAGCTGTTGCAGTTAGGAGCTCTGTCTGGGGCTACAGTGAGTAGACCTTCCCTAGGAAACTCAGGGGCGGAGGGGCTAGAGCTCTCCCCTACCCCCCAGGGTGGGCCAGGGGTGGAGACTCACGCACTTCAGGGAACATTAGTGACTCACAAGCACCTTCTGCCGCGGCGGAACCCTGCTGACACAGAGGATAGGAATACAGCTGCTGCCTGCTCCAAGTAATTGCTCTGGGTGGGGAACAGACCACAGCAGTGCAGGGAGGGCCCTGAGGCGTTCATGATATCAGAAGTCAGCTATGAATTCCAGAACCCTGCTCCTCCTAATTGGCCGGGCCTAACTGCAGGAAATGCTCCTCTAGACTCAGGCTTGGTTGGCCTACACGTGATACTTATAGCGGCATAGTTGTGTCACAGGGGTGTGGGGGGAAAAAAACACTGACATAACCCTCACTCTTGATGTATCCATCAGCAGAAGTATTTGTCCATCAAAGTAGCCAACATCATTCAGGGAGTGCTGTTCCTACCTTGACAGAAGAAAACACTCCTATCAGTGTAGGCCAGTGGTTTTCAAACTATTTTTCTGGTGACCCAGTTGATGAAAATTGTTGATGTCCATGACCCAATGGAGCTGGGAATGAGGGGTTTGGGGTATGGGAGGGGCTCAGGGCTGGGGCAGAGGGTTGGAGTGTGGGGGTGAGGGATGTGGGGTGGGGCTGGGAATGAGGGATTCAGGGTGCGGGAGGGGGCTCTGGGGTGGGGCAGAGATGGAGGGGGTCAGGGCTGGGGGTGCAGGCTCTGGGGTGGGGCTGGGGATGAGGAGTTTGGGGTACAGGAGGGGGCTCAGGGCTGTGGCAGGGGATTGTGGTGTGGGAGGGGGTCTGGGCTGGGGGGTGGAGATGAGGGGACTGGGTGCAGGAAGCGGCTCCAGGTTTGGGGGGGCTCAGGGCTGGGGCACGGGCTTACCTCGGGCAGCTCCCGGTCAGCAGCACAGCCAGGGTGCAGAGGCAGGCTTCCCGCCTGTCCTGGTACTGCGGACCGCACCTCACCCCGGAAGCGGCCAGCAGCAGGTCTGGCTCCTAGACGGAGGTGTGCAAGCGGCTCTGCATGGCTTTCGCCCGTAGGCACACACACACCCAGCTCCCATTGGCTGGTCCTGCTGCTGGCCGCTTCTGGGGCATAGCGCGGTGTCGGAACAGGTAGGGACTAGCCTGCCTTAGCCGGGCAGCACCGCCGATGGGACTTTTAACGGCCTGGTCGACGGTGCTGTCCAGAGCCGCCGCGACCCAGTCCCTTCCATTCCGTGACCCAATTCTGGGTTACGACCCATGGTTTGAAAACCACTGGTGTAGGCTATGTCTACACTCCAGTCTCCAGCATATAGCCATAGAGTAAGGGTTTATTGATTTAGGGAGTTATTCTGGATTAAACGAATTTGGAATATGCCATTTATGAGGGAGTAAGAGCATCCACTAAAACAGTTAATCTACTTTAAATTAACACCCTATTTTATTCCAGATCAGTTTTCAGGGACAGACAAGTCCTAATATCCCAAAATAAAAGGGATGTCCATGATTCTTGCTGTTGGTGCCTTCAAGCCAGCAAAAGGAGGCTGTGAATATGAAATGTCCCAAATAACGAGGCAACTGACAATAACTTGTTCCCCAAGAGCAGAGAATAACAACTGTACACTATATGCCAAAAACACAACAGAAGATGGCATTTCTTTCCATCTGGATAATTAGTTGGAGCTAGTGAATGTCAGTAGTTTTCTTTCCCTAAAAAATGTAAATGTTCATTTTTAACTCCAGAGAAATAAAATGCTTTAGCCTAGTAAGATAGATTTGTGGCTAAAGCCATTCAATAAGGTAAAATGCCCTTATTGAAGAAAGTTTTCTTAGTTGAAGAAAATTGGTCAGGACAATCATTCTTAACATTCAGTGCTACATGAATTAGGTGGTTCCTTGAACTAGAACATTGTTTTAGGATATCCTTATCCTTTTAAAGGTGAGTATAACAGTTTTTAAAAAAACTGTTTAAAAGTCCAAATCATTAATATACTATTACCAAAACATTAACCTTTTCTTACCTGCCGAGCTCTACGTTCAGGTTCTTCCCTTGTTCCGTGCATCAATATTTCCACTAAAATAAATGTGAGCTGTGCGCGCACACATCCTCCAAGAGCAAAATTTTGACTTCAAGAAACCTAAAAGAGCAGACAAGATTTCTGCATTTCTTGGACTATATCATGCTCCCTACATCCCTATGTGGAGAGGAGACTCCATGCTTAGTTTTCAACTCCTCATTCAGAGTGTGTTGCCTTTTTCTGTGGCGCATTCTCTGCAAGAGGATATTTCCTCATAGCACAGTTCCATTGGAGCCATCCTGCCTGAGTGCTGGGGGCCAGTGGTGGTGCAGGGATAGAGGCTTCTACAAGATCTCCTGGGATCTGACAAATTTGTCTCACTTAGGTAA